AGAAAAGAAAGAGAAGCTTCATAGCTATAAAAAACCCTAAGAAAATATATTGCTAAAGTAAACTGGCTGCTTCTGCTCTCTGTTTGGATTGACATCTGGGTTCATTCCTTTTCAGAACTATACATGCATAAATATATCAACCAGCATGCATTCAGAGATGTTCCTTTCTTTGAGATGGCCTCGTCTTCACTCTGCTCAAACAGGGGAAATTGTGCCTCTCATTTTGGAAACTCTTCATTTTTGTATTAAAGAAGGTTAAAAGGTCTAAGAAAGTCTTTCATCATGGTGTTCTTGTTTTATCTGAATAGAGCATTAAAGTGTGAGATTCTCCATGGTCACGGTTTTTCCCATTCCTGAATTGCTTTGCATGGTTTTGGAAAAGTTGGAATGGGTGTCTTTTACAATTTTTCACCTGTGTCCATAAAAAAGCCTAAGTCATCACTGTAAAAATAATGTGACCAACTGCATGCTGACAACATAGACAAAGCATGTTTTAGGACAATAAAGAAAATTTGTGACAGGAGAATATAATGGCAATTGTTGTGGAAGAAATATATTTTATACAGAGAAATTTATGAAAAGAAGCAGAAAGAGTTAGTGCTGAATCATATCATACTTGGTGTTATTGCCTGGTTTGCTTTATCCTTTGTCCTATACTGACATGGTAAAATTTGCCCTGAGTGCTGTTCACACAAGGCTTGCAAGTACAGTCCTTAAAATAATCCTTGCATAAACACCAGAAGCATCTGTTTAATAGGAGCTTTATAATTTATAACTTCTTAGTTTATCTGTCATTTATAGGTTTTAAGTCCTCAAAGGTGGCAGATAGTTTTCAACTTAATGAGCCTCATTATAGCAGCTTTGCATAGTAAAAAGGCATGAAAAAGCAAGAAAATATCAATAAGTACATTTTACATCAAATTAACAGCCATATTGGGACAACGATATGTGTAAAAAAAGATGGTCTAGTTGGTTAGAAGAAATGTAGGAAGGGATAGGTTATAGAATTACATGGAAGAGTTTTTTAAATAATAAAATATATATGATTGCAAATACCATATGTTAATTCTGTTGGTTTGTGCTGGTATTTGCAGATAATTTATATCTTATTTATTGAGTTCAAGGAACTTTTTTCCTCTGTGAATTACAGGCCATTTTACTGGCTTTGTATAAATTATTAATCTATTTTTTGAAACTGGGGCGGAGGGAAGAAATCATTATACTAAAAAAATAGCAAATTCAGAAATTATCATCCTCCAGACTACTTGAAGAAACTGAAAATACTGAATGAAAGACAAGTATTATACTTAATGAAGTGAAAGAATTTTTAATTCTAAACACAACTGAACTTAGTTTAGCACAGTCATACTTTTCTTACTTGTAATCCACAACCTTGTGAAATTTAATTTTAATTGTGACTGAAAATTAAAAGAAAATGCAATCCTTTGTTTCATCTACATGGTTTGAATGGAAGTTGACTATCAAAAATATTTGCTACTTTTAAGAAGTGTGATTAGTTTTTGTGACTCTTCCATAGAAGGAAATTAATTCAGTGTAATTTGCCTTTTGATTGGTATTGTATGATACAGTACTGCAAGGAGCACTATGAACTATTTAATGTCATGGGTTTTATTTTCCCCTGAAATTCTCTCTTTTTCACAGTTTTCCTTTATTCTGTACTAGAAAGTTAAAGCAGTGTGCCTCTGTTTATGGAACAGAAGTCAATAGCTGTAGACTTTTGTTTAATACCAATGCGGTAATCTGTAAGTTTTGTTAGTTCCCCTCTGAGATCTTGCTGCTGGGCAAGGAAGGGAATTATCCTGCTCTGCTCTGCTCTGTTCTGCACTAGTTGGCTTCACTTTAAACGTTGTATGTAGTTTTGGGTGCCACAATATAAAAAAAACATTAAGCTTTTAGAGAACACCCAAAGGAGGGCCACAAGGATACTTCACAAGGATAGTGAAGGGCTTGGAGGGGAAGCCTTATGAGAAGCAGATGAGGTCACTTGGTTTGCTTAGCTTGGAGAACAGGAAATTGAAGGGAGACCTCATTGCAGTCTTCAGCATCCTCACAAGGGGAAGTGGAGAAGCAGGTACTGATCCCTTCACTCTTGTGACCAATGACAGGACTTGAGGAAATTGCCTGAAGTTGACCCAGGGGAGATTTAGGTTGGATATCCTTAAAGACAAGGTTTTTCATCCACAGGGTGGGTGGGTGTCACATATAGGTAAAACTTTACAAAAGAAAGGCCTTGTAAAATCATGATTCAGGCCTTGTTACTTTGGCTAAGTATAGGTAGCAGCTAGCCTGATAAGTTCCTCTGCAAAAACATATTGAGAATTAAAATCTTTTTAACCTAACTAGCTATTCTTGTGGAGAAAAACAAGTGCACCTGTAATAACAAGGGATCTGTTCCATAAGAATCAGTAGAAAAAGTATGTAAACATTGTTAGAGAGAAAAGTTTTGATTGACTTGTACACTCACCATTACCAACCAGTGAACTGATTTCCTAACCAACTGGAATTAAACATGGTGCCTTCTTCTATATAAATAAAGACTGGGCTACGATGGAAGAAGAAACAGGTGTCATTGTCCATTTCTACTATGACAGGTGGGCACTGAATAGGCTCCCCAGGGAAGTGGTCAGACACAAACCTGACCGAGTTCAAGAAGTGTTTGGGCAATAATCTTAGGCACATGGTGTGACTCTTGAAGTGTCCTGTGTAGGGTCAGGAGTTGGATCTGATGATCCTGGTGTATCCCTTCCAATTCTGGATATTCTATGATTATTTCTTCTAATATGACTAATTTTATTCAAGCATTAGAAAAGCCTAGAAAAACTTTCTGGAAACTAAACTGAACTTTTTTCTATAATGCTACTTCTCCTTTATATAAATGGAAATTCAGTGGTTCTAGTCAGAAAAAATAATTTTCTTTGATATACCAGTTTTGCTTCAGAACAAATAGCAGCAATTGTTTTAAAAATTAATGCTTTAAAAGAAAAACAAAAGAAAATTTTAAGCAGTCCCTGAAGGCACATGACATGAAAGATTTCTACAAATAGCAAGGTATCTAGTAGTGATACATCAGAATGTTATTAGCTTGAATTGTCTTTTGTTGTTCTAACTACCATTGGACTTCAGTGTACTGTGTTTAGCTGTTATTTGAAAAATCTTTACTTTGTACAAGTTTTGGGTGTGAATTAATCATCATCCTGTTTTTCAGCTTTTTACCATGCAGTGCCTTAGTGATGTTTAGATTACTTTGGCTTGAACATGAGGAATTTAAAATTAAAAGGGCAAAATAAATGCTTGCTTAGTCAAATTGCACCTATTACTAGAATTAAGTCTAGTAAGTATATAGTCTAGTAAATGTATAAAGACATTTTTTGTCTTTATACAGCTCGACTTTAACAAATTCAATTAACTGGTGCCCCACAGAGTCAATCTAAGGCTACCAACGATTTATATCTTTACCAAAGATACTGGAAAAAATATAATTGCTTTTAGGATTAAGTTTGTTTCTTTCCTTGTTTTAATTTGGAGCAGCATAGATTTATTTAGACACTTATCAAATAATGCTGCTGTCATGGTTTAACTTAAGGCCCACTCACACAGCCACTTGCTCACTCTCCCCCATAGATGTGTGAGAGAGAATATTAGAAGTGTAAAATATTAGAAGTATAAAACTCATAGGTCACGATAAAGGGAGTTTAATACATTAAAAAAAAGCCACACAGACAAGCAAAGAAAAGCAAGGAATTAATTTCACTTTCCTGTGGGCAGGAAGGTGTTCAGTCATTCCCAAGACAGCAGGGCTATATCATGCCTAACACTGACTTAGGAAGGCAAATATCACTCCAAACATCCCTCCCATTCCTCATTCATCTCCCAAGTTACATGCTGAGCATGATGCCATATAGTATGGAATGTCCTTTTGGTTAGCCAGGGTTACCTGTCACACTGAGACCCCCCCAACTCTCTGTGGCCAACCCCCCCCCCCCCCATTCTCCTCACTGGTAAAGTAAGGGATGAGCAGAAAACATCTTGGCTCCAAGTGCTGCTCAGCAATACCTAAAACATCCCTGTATTACAAACATTATTTCCAGTACCAATCCAACACAGACCCCCATACCAGCTACTGTGTAGAAAATTAATTCCACCCAGCACAAAAGCAGTGCAGCTGGCATATCTGTCAGGCACATCTGCAGATATTAGTCACAAACAGCATCAAATCCAGTGGAACAGCAACTTTTGCAGTGACCATGTTTTGCACATTCATCCCCATGACAATTTTTCTTCTTTTGCTTGAAAAAAAAAAAGCAAAAAGACAGTTTTTGTTCATAAACTACCTTCCAATCACAAAGTTAATTTTTGCTAGACTGCCAAAGGTTGGTTCCATGAAGAACCAAAATAAGCCTAAGAATTCATTGCCTGCTCAGGATTTTTCTTGGTCTCCCAAACTGGACATATTTTTAATGTAGAGCTCTACAGTTTCAATCAAAGGTGTGATTTTAATTTTTTTTTTATTCTGTAAATTTAGCTAAACAGTTTTCCTCAGCAAAACATTAGTAATCTAAGAACTGCTGAAAGATTTAATCTAAAATCTAAACCAAGTATATAAATTGCAGTAACAATCTACCTTACCCCAGATGATTAGGTATATGAACAAATTCTACTTTAGGTTTTGTATTTGGTCTCTTCTGTGATGTAGATTCTGTAGCAATATATAGCATTGTTCAACCAATTTCTGAACTTCAGAACGCAGAAAAGCAACTACTACTTATATTTATTCATTAGTTTTTAGTGGTTCCAAACTCTGTAAATCACTCAATGGGAGACACAGTTTGGTTTTGGAGACTGGTGTTTGATCTCTTTTCTATTGATTACTAAGTATTTAGCCTTTTTATTCATACATGTAACAAGTGTTAACAGCGTACTCCAGAACTTGAAGACCTTATTATCCCTTAATATTTCATGATTTATTTTTCTTTTCACAGGGATAACACTCTATAGCCAACCATATGGAGGAGTCTTGTTGGATGAGGATAAAATGTGAGCAAACTCTTAAAATGTTTTACAGCAACAATCATCAGACAATTGAAACTATCAATTAAATAAGAATATGTTTCCTGGAATAGATGCTGTGAATTGATAGACACAATTCAGTTCTACTGAGTGAAGCATTTTTTAGTGTGGTCTGTCTATCAAGTCCACTGTCCATACCAAAAATGATTGCAGTATTTTGTAAAAAAAAAGTATTGAATTTATGCTAATTGTGTCGTAACAGTTTTAAACAGGGTAACTGTTTCAAATGATTACTGAGGGTTTAAATTTTAGTTTTCTGTAAAGGGGAAATATTTACATAAGCTTCATTTTACAACTCATATACATGCTGTGCTCTGTAACTTACCTATAGTTTTGTAACTTAAAACATCTTTTTCCTGTTCTTTAATTACATGTTGACAGTTTAGAGACATTGTGTCCCTGCTCATTCCAGAGTGTTGACAATCCTTAAGGCCCTTTCCAACCCAAACCATTCTGTGATTCTATGGTGTTTGCAATCAGGATTAAGGTCCTACTGTCTATTGTTTTGGTAAGAAGTTGGCCTGAAAAATGCTAGCATTATCTAGTTTTTCCCCATTGTGTTTTCATTGCACTATTTTTCTTTTTACCCTAGAATGGAGAATGTTCATCAATGTGGGGTAGTACTGTGTATCATGCTGGGCTTCTCTATCCTTACTGCATCCATTGGAACTGCCATAGTCAAAGACAGAGTATCTGGGATGAAACGCTTGCAACTCATCACAGGCCTTGGTTACAAAACTTACTGGCTTGCTAACTTCTGCTATGATATGGTATGTATTGTATAGAGCAGCATGTGCTCAGGTGTAAATTTTAGGCTAGTTTCTTATAAATGAGCAAAAGGAGATATGGTCATAAGATACACGAATAAGACTTGTGCAGAGGGACAGCTCTTGGCTGACATGTTAAACATGAAGTCACCATTCCTACTTTAATGCAGGGTGGGGATTGTGATCCTTGCTTCCCAAAGTTGAATTGCAAATGATTTGCTAGCTTTAGCTATGTACACTGTTTTACAAATAAAAGGAAGTTGGCTAATCAGCCTGTACAGAGTCTTCGACACAGCAGCTCATAGCAGTAATTTCTATGCTTTGAATTTTGCCATGCACTGGCAAAACCTTACAAATTAGTGGAGAAAACTGAAAATACTAGTCAGCTACTTTAAGGGATAATTGTGTTACGTGTTGTTGTGGATAATATGAGAGATACTTATGATCAGTACCTTTTATTTGTGTCAAGCACTGGAAGAGGCAGCACAAAGAAGTGGTGGAGTCACCATCCCTCGCAGCATTTAAAAGCAATATAGATATGGCACTGAGGGATATGATTTAGTAGTGTACTTGGCAGCGCTGGATTAATGGTTGGAACTGATATTCTTAAGGTCCTTTCCAATCTTTAGGTTGGATTCTATGATACCCTGGTCAGGAACAGAAATTTTTGGAACACTCTGTTTTCATTTAGACCATTCTAATTCTGAAATATTAGATGTTCACACATCCATGCTTGAAATCAGAAGAATTTTCATACTTGAGCAAACTTGAGATAAGAGCACATTTTTCCAAATGTTATTTACTTGGCCAGTCAATCTTGGTATTTCTTTTTTCTGCTGCTTCAGATAAGAAGGCTTGGTTAAAAACAGTCCAAGTTTAAACTCTTTGTGAGCAAAGTCAACTCCTCATTATTTTCTGCCAATCTCTCAAATGCTCTCAAAAAATTCAACACAGTACTGCATGATCAATCATGATGTGGGAAAGAGCAGACACTGCTTTAAATGCTAATTGTGCTGCAGATCATTTAGGGACACTGAACACATGAATACATGAACTGTCAAATTTTAAATCCCTCTACATATTTTAAGTATTACAGGCTGTGTCCAGTATTACTGGTAGCAGAATCTTTACTTGGCCTGCAGAAGTATTTGACTTATGAAATTGGTCTCATGAGAATCAGGCTGTTCCTGCTGTTTTATAGGCATGAATAACATTCATTACCACATTCAACAAATGGAAAATGTGCAAGTACTAAGAAGATTTAAAGAGAAATAGAGACATTTTATTAAGTTTGTGTCACTAGAGGGGTAAAATTAAAGTTATTTTGTTGTACATGCACAACTTCTGCAATACATTATGATTTCTGGGTAAGATTTCCAATATAATATGATTTTAAAGTTATTTATTTACTTCTAGACAGAAGCCCCAGGTCTATTGAAAATTACTGGGACTCAAATGTTTTGTGACTTTTCTACAATCTTTTAAAACAGCTTCAGGATAAATGAAGCATATATCTGTGGGTGGTATGTTATACTTCTGTATGGCAAAGGAAAGGTACACTGTGAATAAGATGAGAACATTGCATCCATCTGCATTTTACTCCATTGCCCTTCTCTTAAAAAAAAATATGTTTTCCCAGTAGCAAAGACATGATGCCCTCTGGTTTAATTTGGAACTAGTTTTCATTGTACTTCAGTATGAAAGTCTAATTTTAACAGTATGTTGTTCTTATACACTGAATATTTAGGTGGACCTTGATTTGTTGGCTCTATTGAAGTTGTATCTCAGAATTTCAGTTCTGTTAGGTTAAAGCTATAAAGCTAAATATTACATAAACAGAAATGGAGGCAGTCAGCACCCTAGTGAACTCAGGTTCAGTGCACAGAGCAGGCAGACACTGAAAATGAAGCTGAGCACAGGTTTTCAATTCCTGATGTTGCTATTTTCAAGCAGAACCCCTCTCTCTTGAATATTTGGATATGAATGTCCTGTACCAATCCCACCCTGCCACCCTTAATATTTGGTTGCCATTAAGAGACAAAACAGAGAAACTGCTTTCCCTGTTGCCTAGTGGCTGTAAAGGTTTTATATATTTTGTCCATTCCCAGTAAAAGATGTAATTTGCTTCATCAGCACATATGGTCCTTCATTAAAATCTCTTTTAAAATTGCATCATTATTATTCACCCATATGAATGCACCACAAATCAGTGAAACTGCTGTTTCTGAAACCAAGCCTCTCTATTCATAGTGTAATTTGATGTTTTGGAGCAATAGCCCCACATGGATTCATTATCTGCAAGAGTTGGCTTGATAAATGGATGTATTGGAAAGGTCAATAGAAATAGGATTAAGGTGGATATTCTGTAGTCAGATGGTATCATGTCAGGTTGTTTCACATGTAGGAGGCAGTTTCACAGCAAGTGCGGACTATCAAATCTCCAAGCTCTTCTGCCTATTTCTTCCTAACTTATAGTTGTATTGCAAGTATGGAGAAATTAATTTTTAAGACCTTTCAATGCAAATTAGTTAGACCAGTAAGAGATGCTCACCTGTTCAATGTTTTTCTTCCTTCTATTTCTAGGTGTTTTACATGGTTCCAGTGACCCTGTGTATTGGTATTATTAGTGCCTTCCAGCTATCAGCCCTCACTTTCCAAAAGAACTTGGCAGCCACTGTTCTCCTGCTGATACTCTATGGGTATGTGATTGGAAATGCTACTGTGGAATTACAGCTTTTAAGAAACAAACATAAATCTTTAGATGTAGTTTGCACCTGCTGCTGGATGCATGGTTTCCTGTCTTTGTAAGTGATTATGATTCAGAAAAATATAGTAAGAAAACACACTGAAACATGAGTTTGAAAATTAAACACAAAAAGTGGAGTGAGATTTTCTCACACCCCAAGCAACCAATGAAACAAAACAACCAAAAAACCAATCCTGTTATAGAAGGCTAAAGTAACTGGTTAAACAGAGGACTGATATCTCTATAAAAGTAAGCATGTTCAGCCCTGGGATCAAACAAATTAATAGTGTATTCTGTTGTGTCACTAGAGGGCAAAAATTAAAATTCTTTTGTTGTACATGCACAACTTATGTAATACACAATGATTTCAGGGTAAGATTTCCGAAAGAGTTTGATTTTAAAGTTATTTATTTACTTAAAGACAGAAGCCCCAGGTCAGTTGAAACATACTGGGGCTCAACTCATACTGGGACATACAGATCTTCCCATGTGCTGTCTAAGGTGATGTTAGAAATGCTGAAGATGAATTTTTAAAGGAAAAGGCTTCTGAGAAGTTTATTTTTACTTATTTCAAGTAACTAATTGTTGCTACTCTTGTAGGGGAGAGTGCATATCTTACATGACAGATGTTTAGATAATGTTTAGCTAATAGCTGCTTCATGAGAGGATGGTACAGAATGAAAGAAGAACTTTCTACAACATCAGGACATACTTTATTCCAGGAAGAGTTTTGGATAAACCCTTCAAAAAACCTCCCAACTTAATATATTGTACCTTGAAACTGTTTTCAAGGTTTTGTGCCTTCAAGTGATTCCCTCAAGTTAAAGGCACAAATTCTAACCAGTCTTAGTGCAAAGGTTTCACACTATGAAATCTCACACCTTTTTTTTTATCAGCTTTACAACCATTGAATCCTACTTGTGATCCAGTTGCTGTCATATTAGCAAGGCATAGGCTTCTATAGAAATCTTAGCCAAGCAACAGTTGAAGCGCATAGTACAGACCTTTATGTCTACTGAAGTCATAACATGTTCTTTCTGATGTGCTATGGGCCTTGGCCCTGCTCACAAAATGTTGAGGTAAACTTCGAGTATTTTAGAAAAAAAGTCATTGAATGAAAATGGGTCTTATTTTGTTGACTGCAGATGCAGCTTAATCAGCTCAATATAACCCCTAGTTATACATATAACCTCTAGTGTTCAATTCTGGCTGATATAACAGATGTTGCAGTGATTTTTAACAAGAAAATCTGTGTATTCAATGTGTATTAACATATATTAAAGATCCAATAACTGTCAGTAAGTTTAACATGTCTCAAGGACATTGATAAGCTTCAGAGTAGCCATTTTTCCTAATTTACCCTTTATTCAGCCTAAGTACACTGTAAATGTGATGAAGCCTATTGTGGCCATTATATTCTTCCCCAGTACTGTGCATATAATCCTCAGTCATCTGCATGCCATCATCATCTGCATTTTTTTCCTTTAAAAATGTTTTTTTTCTCTTCAGGGTACATTTGTGCAGATTTTCTTGTCTAGGACAAAGATAGAAATAGCCCAAATATATAAAAAAGTTAAAGAGATGAGGGTGTGCTGGAAAGAATAATCAAGTTTCTTAGTTTGCTACTTTAAAAGCGATTTCCTTAAAAGTGTAACTAAACTACATCTTTCTCTTTTAGATGATTGCAGAGGTGTTTTCTAGTCCAAATGCTAAAGCAGTTTTGTCCAAAATGTTCTGTCCTTTATACTTAGAAAAGACTAAATTGTAACTGCAGCTGAAGGAAGAGAAAGAGGATAGAAATGTAGGTGTGACTGGCTGCAACTTTAAAGGCTACATTTGAACATCATATAATTTTAGGATTCTGAAAGTCTTACTTCTTAGCAGCTATAAGCAAACAAATCAAATTTTGCTTTCATTTACAGCAGGGCAACAGCACTGTAAATCATGTCTCTTTCCTGAGCTGTTTCCAAGGATGGACTTTTATTTATGATATTGTTATTCTGAGAACAGTGATTTTGGTATGTGCATGAAGGGAAGAAAAGATTGTGTGATTAAGACTGGCAAAAGGATGCTGAAAAATAGAGTGGGATCCTGAATACTTACAATTTCATTTGAGATTCAAACATTGAGTCATATAACCTTTATCTTCCTGTCAACTGAAGATAACATTATTATTACTTCCCAGCAGGATTTGCAAGTTTGTTTTTTAAGGTTTTGGCATTCTCCAATGCAAATGATTAATCTGCAAAGTACAAAATGCTGAATTCAAAAGGGACTTCTACTTAATTTAGTAATCTAAACTACACTTTAAGGCAATGAAGAAGTGAATTCACAGATTTTTGGCTAATTGCTCCTGCATTGAGCTCACTATCAAACCAGTTATACATATTAATATTATATAGGAAGTGTTTATATATACACTGCACATACCCTTTTCGTTGTGCAACAGTGTATGGTGATACCTATGCTCCTGTAGTCCATACTGCTTGTTTGATAGATATATCTTGCATTATGTTGAATGAAAAATAAGTTTTCTTTACATGTCATGCATGCTCTGATTGCCTGGGCCTTGTTTTAATCTTTATAAACATCTCTTTATAAATAAAAACATGTGCATGTGCATGCTCCATTCTGGATAGGCATCCTTTAACTTGTCATAATGGAGGTGCCTTCCTCCTTCCTTTAAAGATTCTCACTGAAGATGATGTAGCCATAGACATGCTGTCTTATCCTCATAGTTTTATGCACTCGTTTTTGATACCTATTACTCTACTGACAACCTGGTTAAGGTAATAACATGATCTGAGGATTTTTCAATTTTTACATATCACTGGCACAATATACTAGTTCCAGTTCAAAAATTGTTTTTTACTTCTTTTTTCTTCTCTTTGCTTACTACCTTATTTTTTTTTCTTTCTATGAAAGCCTCTCAGAAAAGATAACTGCTCAGCATCCATGATTTAAGCTTTAAATATTTGGTTTTAATTCTATATCTGTGTAAAAGGTGCATGGGTTTGCAATCATTCAGAAATCAGGACTGCAAGCTGTCTGGAACAGTCAAAGTAAATATCTGCAGCTCATATATGCAAAAATGGATCATATCTGCAGATATCATGTCAGTAAATATGTGTACATCTAAGGAAGTATAAGCCCATTTTTTAAAGAATATGTATTCCAGATTTGTCCGTTTTTTCAATCATTTGTTCTGAAGAGTTGTTTGCCTGCCTTAAAAATAAGAAACAATAATTGCAGTTTTTCTAGTGTGATAACTGACTTTTTTGGGGGTGGTGAGGCAAAAACATAACTTGTGACAGTTTTGTTTCTTTAAAGCTTCAGATATGCAACTTTACCTTGGATGTATCTTGCATCCAGATTCTTCTCAAGTTCAGATGTAGCTTTTATTTCTTACATCTCCTTTAATTTTGTGTTTGGCCTGTGTACCATGCTGGTGACTCTCTTACCTCGCTTGTTAGCTATAATTTCCAAAGTGCAGGTCAGTAGAAAATCTTTCATTTACCTATTTCATAACTGAAATGTATACACAAACATACATGCATATATATATTTGAAAATGTTCTTATGTGTGTTTATATGTTCATACAGATAAGATTTTTCCAGAAGAAAAACTTATGGTTTTTAAATATTCATGGTTTTTCTGTCCTAGAATATACTGTATTGACTTACCATCTTGAATTACTTGTCTGTAACCCAAAAAGGCATGCTGTAATAATGGAAAAACAGTGTTAATTGAAACTTTCACATTTTCTAGACCATTAAGTTGTAATTGGCACATAAATGGAGCTGTTCTGGTCCATTAAATAGATTATATACATTGTAAATTGTGTTTGAATAATATTGACATAAGACATAAACTGCATATTCCTAGGATTATTAATGCATTGTATGAATAGTAATTTATACAGTGCATTCTCACTCCTTGTATGTAATTTTAATTAGTCATAATGGTATTTAAACAACTTGATGGAAAGGAGTTCCACAATGCTTATGGCTCTCTTCATGTACAGATCAAAAACTTGATGTTTGAAGTCAAATCTGGATTATGTGTCATGCAAGTGTGTAAAAATCCAGTATTCACTTGGGATTAAGTATTCAAATATTAAAATACTAAGGAAATAGAACAATCATGGCTATAGGTGTTTTGATACCCTCATTGAACTTCTACTAAGAATGCCATGGTTGTACAAAGTCTAAAATTCAATATGATATGAACCCTGTCCCCAAAATAGTTCACAATATGCACTTTAGATTTCAGTATACCATGAAATATGAACGCAGTATCCAGTTTTGCAAGTGAGCTCATTAGGCTGTTCGAGAAAACTAATTTTTTTTTTTCTTTTTTCTTTATTCTCCTCAATCCTTGCTGCATCTTAATGCAGAGTTTTCAAAGCATCTACAATATCCTCAAATGGGCATTCATATTCCCACAATTCTGCCTAGGCCAGGGTTTAATAGAGCTTTCATACAATCAGATCAAATTTGACCTGACCAGGAACTTTGGAATAGATTCTTACGTGAGCCCCTTTGAGATGGATTTCCTGGGTTGGATTTTTGTGGAAATGTCCCTTCAGGGAACACTACTACTTCTTTTGCGCCTTTTCCTTCATTGGGATCTCCTCTGGAAAACAAGGTGTGTTATCATTTGTATTCTGCCACAGTGGGTATTGATCTAATTTTTGGAGAAAGAAAATGGTATGTTCCTTTGAACAACTGAAGATAAATACTTCTGACAACATGGTGTGCCTAAATTAATGTAAACTACAGAAAAAATACAAGGAGGTTTTTTTCCCTTGAATTCTGATAAGAATTGATCACTAAGTGCTAAGGGTTTACGACCAGGAAAATAAGAGTTATGCAGAGTGCGGCAATGACCGATTTGCCATGTATCACTTACTATCATCCTCTGTTGTAGAGGTCATTGCTCAGTTAACAGCATGGAAAGAAAGGAGAGCCCTTCAGAAGATGCTGATGTAGAAACGGAACGACAGAGACTCTTCAGTGGAAGAACTGGTAATGATGTCCTACTTCTGTACAACCTCAGGAAGTGTTATGGAGGTTTCAGTAAGAAGAACACAGCTGTGGAAAACATAAGCTTGGGCATTTCAAGGGGAGAGGTAAAGGGGTCTTCTTTTTCCCCTTTTATAAAGTAACACTTTATTCTGAGCAATTGTTGATACATACTCAGTGTGTCTACAGTGAAAGGCCTGTAGGTAGCAGCAGAAAAAATTAAATTGTAGTAATTTCTGAAAATCAATAACTGGATAAAAGCAGAAACTCAAGTGGTGCTGAAGAAGCAACTGTTAATTTATTTTTTGGTTAAACATTCAGCAGTCTTAATTTTTTTTACTTCTTGCTTATCTTTACCAAATTACTGTATTATATGCTAACATAAAAACAAGTAAGGTAACACAGTAGTTTAGTGTTCAAAGAGAAAACATATTACCCAACTCAATAGCAAACTACGGACTGAATTCTGAATTTGTTACCACAGCACACTTTTAGTACCTGTCGGGCTGAAAATAACAAGGGATGGTACCACCATTGCGATAAAGGTGATTTATTGCTCAGATATATCAGATAAGGCATCAGTCTCAAAGGCATAAGATTTGGAGGAGCAACAAATCAGCCATAGTTCAAAGGTTTCTGCATTACACAGCAATAGGTAACATTTCGGTCCAATAGACAGTTGACATTGAGTTTGTTTTTACTTAATTACCCAGTAAGTTTTTACTTACCTTTGCTAAGTTCTGCTGCACAGCATCTGTTTTTCAGCCAATAGACTGTTAGCTCACATCAACACATCTTACCTAATACACTTACTTACTTATGGCATATTCTTAGTTGCAATTATAGGAACGTAAGTTTACAACTTCTCTAGTTAATGTCTGTGTACCTTTACCATTACATTAATCCAAGCTCATTCCAAGGCTGCAAATTAAATGCTTCAGTATCCATGGAAGTTTCTATTTTTCCATTTCCCACAAGTACCCACCACAGTACATTTGAATATAGCATATACAAATAAACTGTTTCAATAAATTGAAATTTAGTGCTGAACATGTTTGTGCTTTGGGGCTCTTTATTCATTATTAGGATGGTTTGGGGAATTATAGATATTAATTTCAAAACTACTGATAAAGAAAAGATGTTTCTTGGTTGCTAATATAAAATTGGAAGATCTGAGAAACTTGCACATGGCAGCACAGATGCAGTGATATCCTGCTGCTTACTGATCAGCTGTTGTTGTAACTGAGATAACCAGAAGGATGTTATTGTAGATTAAAACCTATCAGTAAGAAAGTTTATGAAAAAAGTATTTCAAAATCATAAAAGGCTATAGCTAGACTTAATATGAATCCTATCCTATCTTAAGCATTAAGTTATTGCACCTAGAAGCCTGAAATAAGTGTTCAAAATAAGTCCGTCTCTTGGATGTTTGGTGTTCACTTGTACAGAGTGAAGCAGCTCATGAGAAGCTTGGAAGTATGGACTGATATCCAGGGATTGGAAGTAGGACCTAAAATCCTCCTATTGAAATGTAGCATTTACTAATAGAACAGAAAAATAATGAGTTTAATTGTTGGTCAGGGTTTTAAGAGGAAGGCTAGAATCCTAAATAAGAAACTTTTAGTAATTGAGGGTCAAAATATGATATGGATGGGGTTTTTTTAAACTGATTTTTTGTGGGAAAGGGAATTTGCACACACATTCTATCCATATAGTTTCTTATAGACATATAATAGGAAATGTGGGAAGTGGAGAAGGGTAATATTTCTTATTTTTTTCAGTACAGCATATTTTTTGTATTATTATGATTGTTATTGTTACTATTATTGTTATTATTATTATTGTATCTCTGATAGTGTTTTGGACTCCTGGGAACAAATGGAGCTGGGAAAAGCACAACATTTAAGATGCTGACTGGAGATATAATCCCATCTGCAGGACGGGTGGTAATCAGGACTCCTACTGGGTAAGTAACACATGGTTTAATCAGAATAGTGCTAATTGATAATGCACATGATCAAAGACTCAGCACATCTTCAGTCCTTTATACTGTACTCTAGGGACCTATTTTGTTCCCTTTTAAATGTATATTGCTTTGTTGCCGTTAAGTCCCTGTGGAAAAGTATTTTAGCATTATTTAATTCTGTTTGATAGCTCTGTTAATTTAGAATAAATTTGTCTGGTAGCAAAATAGAAACTCTACGAAGGCTTAACATTCATCCTTTTAAAACTTGTAAAACAACATTAACATATGTTCAACTGCATGGCAATATTTCCCCCATACAAATACTGCATTGAAAGTTTTCCAGGCTTAGGAAGACAAGCAGTGCTTCAAGCGAGTAATTTTAAAATATTTTCTTACACGTATGTACTTCAGAGTAATTAACTAATTAGTTGATCAATATGTTATGTAATTAGGGTAAGAGGTAGTATTGGTGAGATTTATCATTCTGATGGAGTGATAAAAGAATAATGCACTTTGGGTTAGATATAACCAATACTTTTCATTTTTCCTAGCAAAATTGGAGGGGAAAGAAAGTAATTTTTTTCAGTCAGTAGTAAATATGTATATGCACACATAAAAATGGATTTGGGACTTTTCCTAAAGGATGTACATTTAAAAATATCTTTTGGACAAGGATAGGTCAAGAGTTTAATTAAGAAATTTTTAAAGGAAACGTTTTTAAATTTTCAAAATGTAAGTTGCGTTTCTTTGGTTTAGAAATCAAATGCTTTCATAGGTCAGTGTTTCCTTACTTCACAAAGATAATGATCATCAGATTTAACTTCAAAGAATAAGTAGTTTCAGTCCTTGCAAAATTCAGTTTTCTGGAAAATTTGCACCTTTGAAACAGACAATATCATCACTATGAAACATAATTTTACTTCAGTGTGTTTTTTCATTATCTTTGATAGCAAATCATAAAAAAATGTTGATCATAAAGCAGAAATTATTTTGAAAAAACAAACAGATTTTGGAAAAATTATTCTTAAGAGTAGAAGAAGTGGTGTGAGTGAGACTTTTAGATGGTTGTTTTTGTTTATAATTTCCCAGAATTTTTCATTTTTGTACTTTTCCGTCTTAAACACAAGACAAAAATGTTCAGACATTAAGCAAAATTAAAAATAACAGAAGTGATTTAAAATTAGATAAAAATAAATGTTTATTATTCTTTGGAACTGATGGATGACTTTGTGCCAGGATATGACGGAGGTCAGAGGTTTATAGCACAAGTCTGAAGAAGATTCCAGATTTGGAGAAATAAAATCATCTGTAATTTTTTTGTTTTTTTAAATAAAATATTGCCATTGGGACATTCCTGTGCCAGGAACATCAGGCTTCTGAGTACACTACCAGAGTAAGAAAAGGAGAACCTTCTTTCCGTAATATCCCCCTTCCTTCATTTGTCTGAGTCATAAATACAAATCAATCCACCTAAAGTTCCCTGCACTTAGTAATTTTAGTCATTCTTAGCTAGTGAGGTATGGTTCTCCAGACTTGTTGCAGTTACCATCTCACCTTGGGAAGAGCCAGCAAATTTGCCTCTTAGTGATTTTCAGGAGGACAGCAACACAATGCACCATGATCTGCTCAACAACAGTTTCCAAAATACGAAGCAAGGAACAAAGTCAGGAGGGTCATAAATTTCCTCTCACAGCCTCAAATTGTTTGTTTCTCTAAGTTTAGCTACTGTATAATAGCAGCTCTTGCTTAAGGTTGCCTTCTTGAATTAGGGTTAAGTTTTGAAAAATTGAGAATATGGGATTTGCACTCACTTCAGCCCCTGCAAACACAAAAAATCCATAAACTCGATTGATACCACCATAGTACAATGTGATAATTAATGTTGTCAAGGGTATTTTAAACACTGAAATTCAATTGTCTAAGTCTTTCTCTCAAGCCTCCTAAATGTGTCAAATTTCATTACCTATGTTTTAGTATATGGTAAATAACACTGCATATTACTACATGCTTTCATGTTGGATTTATAAAACATAGTATGGGAAATGAAAGTGACACACACAATGTCCAGGGACAGCATTTAGCCTACCATCAAAAGCCATTAGCACACTAAAGTTGACCTCAGAAGCATTTTTATCTGTTTAACGACAGGTACATAGCAACACAACTGATAAAAGGAGTCCAGGCATTGTTAAATAGTTTCTTAATTTTTTTTAAAAAATTATCCTAAGGGGTTCTAAAAATGTATATAATAGTCAGCAATACTATGTATTATATATATTGTGTCTATATATATATAATAATGAATTATATTCTTAAAATTTTATATTTGATTTCAAGTAGATGTTAAAAATTTGGAATTGTTACACCAGCTCAAATCATTTGCCCAAATACAGACCTGAGACCACATTGCACAGGAACAGCCATATGTGATCCATGAATGCACAGGTGGGACCTAAGGCAAGTTGCATTAAAATCTACAGCAAAACACGACTCAGAATCTAAACAAAACATGGGAACTTAAATGTCCCAATGGCAATATTTTATTTAAAAAAACAAAAAAATTACAGATGATTTTATTTCTCCAAATCTGGAATCTTCTTCAGACTTGTGCTATAAACCTCTGACCTCCGTCATATCCTGGCACAAAGTCATCCATCAGTTCCAAAGAATAATAAACATTTATTTTTATCTAATTTTAAATCACTTCTGTTATTTTTAATTTTGCTTAATGTCTGAACATTTTTGTCTTGCGTTTAAGACAGAAAAGTATAAAAATGAAAAATTCTGGGAAATTATAAACAAAAACAACCATCTAAAAGTCTCACTCACACCACTTCTTCTACTCTTAAGAATAATTTTTCCAGTCAGCAGAAAAAAAGTAGCTGCTGATCACAGCTGCAGGACATTTCTTGGTCAGCAGAAACAGATTTTTTGTTTAAAATTCACATAATGAAGGAGATTCCATAAAAAACATTTTGACTGGAAAGAATATGCCTTTTGTCCTCCGTCACCGTGAAAGGACCATATACTCTGAGGGGTCCTTCAGAGAATCATAAAATGGTTCGGGTTGGAAGGGACCTTTAAGATCATGTAGTTCCAAACCCCCTCCATGGGCGGGGACACCTTCCACTAGACCAGCTTAACTAAAGTTACATCTAACCTTGAACACTTCCAGAGATACAGCATCCACAGCTTCTCAGGGCAACCTGTTCCCAAGACTCACCACCCTCACAGTCAAGAATTTATTCATAACATCTAATCTAACCCTACCTTGGTGATGTATTCTTCATGATGAAAAAATTGACTATGTAAAATTACTATTATAAACATTGGAGAATCTAACTAATTTTATTACATGCAGGGCATCCTTAATTCGTAACAGTTTCCATTTCCTTGAATAACTATGCTTGAAAGTTTCTGGTTTAAAAACAAATTAAAAAACAAAACAAATCCATGTATGTATTTTCCTGATTGAAACTGAATTTAAAATGAAGTCAGGAGTGTATTTTTGAGGCAGGTGCACTGATAATGGCCTTGAATTTTATTGGAAAGCTATTGCATCTTGGAACAACATGAATTCTAGAAATGGAAGATGGGATTTTTCAAAGGTATAGGTTATACACAAGGTAGAATTTTTGAAAGGTCAACCTAAAATATCTTGGAAGTGCAGGGTGTTATAGAGAAAGAGCCTCACACACCAATAATCAACTTGTATTCAAGGAATTGCTGCTATATTCTCAAAGAAATTTAAAATACATACTTCTGAGAAGAAATTTCTTTTAATGGGGCATAAGAGCAGATTCACAACATCTTCAAGTACTATTAAAAGATTTGTTGGCTTCTAGGTTGGTTGTTTACTGAATGCTTAATGCCACAAAAAAAAAAAAAAAGGATTTTATTCCTATGAATCTGAGAGAGATCTATGTCTGTTTTCATAACAAAATCTAATAAAATCCATAGAAGCTAGGTATTATGTATGTTAGTTTTCAGTATAACTGGGATTCATAAGTCAGGTTGTCATTAAGTGTGAATGTGTTTGTTAAATACTAGAACCAACTTAATCTCTTCTGCAAATTGGTTTTTCCTGGCCTCCTTTGGTGGAGAAATGATTTTGGGGGAGGGAAGGCTTCTGATCTGTTTTAATTGGGGTTTCTCTTTTTGATACATGTCAAATTAAGAAGATATTGTAAATACACTATGTGCCTGAACTTTTTATCCTACAATTTGTGTTACCAAAGCACATTTAGAGCAGACAAGCTGAGCCATCTACAAAAAAATTGGTTTTTTAAAATTTTCATATTCTTCTGCAGAAATTCTTTTAGGCAACAAGGCTCTTACACAGCCTTTGCAGACCCATTCTAGTTGTTACTGTTATGTGATTAAACTAGTACAGTCAGAGAAATTATAGGAATTTATCACTAACCACAGCCAATATTGTGAAGATAATGCCTGTCATAATATAATATGATAATATGACATAATATGATAATATTATGTATATATATTACATATATATGATATATGTCATTATTATATATTATGTCATTAATATTGTTATCAGTGACATATCTGTGGAAATGAAACAGAGAAGTAATTAGCTTCTAGAGAGTGCGTCTCCATATTAGGGATACTTGCCACCCCAATACTGAAGAGTGCCAAAGGAACAAGCAGCATTGAAACAGTTACTTCAGAAGGCTTGGAAACAAAATAGTCATAGCAAAGTACGAGCAGTACCTTTCATAAGGGGCAGAAATATCAAAAGCCAAATAGATAATTACTAGAAAGTAGATTATTTCAAGAACACTTGTTTACTTGTATTTAGAAAGTATGGTTTTATAAGACATTAAGAGACCATCAGGCTTTTAAAGAGTTGAGAAGCTTAAATAGGTTTAATAATTAACTGCATGGTCTGCTCGACAATTAGAAGAGTTCTTTGTGCTCTCTGTAGCACAGCTGTTGCTCTACAAGAATAAAAATGGACTAAAATTATCTCATGCTTG